CGACACCGCAGCCACGCAGAGCCCTGCAGCGGGCGCAGCCCTGTGACGACACCGCAGCCACGCAGAGCCCTGCGGCAGGCGCAGCACCCATCCCCTGTCCGGCTCTTTCTGCGGGGACTTACTGCTCCTTGCTTGATTCCTTTCCTACTCTGTAGAAAGAACATGTCACGGTCCTTTTTTGCTGCTGTTGTCAGTTGTGCAGCTTGAACTCCAGGCCTGGCGCTGCCCCTGAGCTCTCTTGCTCAAGGTGAGCGCTCTACCGCTTTGAGCCTCAGTGCCACTTCCCACTTTTTTCTGTGCATGTGGTGCTGAGGAATCAAATCTAGGGCCACATGTACTCAAGGCAAGCGCTCTACCACTGAGCCACCTTCCCAGCCCCCTCTTTACATTTAAAAAAAATTAACCATTAAAAATAACTAAAGGGCTGGGAAGGTGGCTCAGTGGTAGAGTGCTTGCCTAGCACACAGGACGCCCTGGGTTCGATTCCTCAGCACCACATACACAGAAAAAGCTGGAAGTGATGCTGTGGCTCAAGTGGTAGAGTGCTAGCCTTGAGCAAAAGATGCTCAGGGACAGCGCCCAGGCCCAGAGTTAACACAAAAGTTACTGAGACCCCATCTTTATGAACATTCTGGGGTGAGGCAGTGACATCTGTCTGTCCAAGCTACTGGGAAGACAGGCTATAGGGTGTGAGGACTGCCCTGGGAAAGCCTGGGACTCCATGAAAAACCAAGTAGAACAGATGGGGCGCAGCTAAGTGTTTGAGTGGCAAAGCACCTGCCTGGCCCTCATGAGCCCCAAGTTCAACCCCCAAACCTGCAAAGCTCAAACCCTCTCATCCCATTACACCTTGAAGCCTAATAACCTTGTCAGAATTAAGCTGGGCAGCCAATGTCAGGAAATTCCAAACAACAGTAGTTTTCCTCTTTTACAAGAGGAATGATTACTGTGAGCCAGTGAGCCACTCAGGATCCTTAGGTCCTGAGCTCAGGGCCTGGGCGCTGTCCCTGAGCTCTGTGTGTGTGTGTGTGTGTGTGTGTGTGTGTGTGTGTGCGTGCACTGTAGGGTCTGCACTCAGGGCCTGGGCGCTATCCCTGAGCTCTGTGTGTGTGTGTGTGTGTGTGTGTATATGCGTGCGCTGTAGGGTCTGCACTCAGGGCCTGGGCGCTATCCCTGAGTTGTGTGTGTGTGTGTGTGCGTGCACTGTAGGGTGTAGGGTCTGCACTCAGGGCCTGGGCACTATCCCTGAGTTGTGTGTGTGTGTGTGTGTGTGTGTGCGTGCACTGTAGGGTCTGCACTCAGGGCCTGGGCACTATCCCTGAGTTGTGTGTGTGTGTGTGTGTGTGTGTGTGTGTGCACGTGCACTGTAGGGTCTGCACTCAGGGCCTGGGCGCTGTCCCTGAGGCTGTGTGTGTGTGTGTGTGTGTGTGTGTGTGTGCGTGCGCTGTAGGGTCTGCACTCAGGGCCTGGGCACTGTTCCCTGAGCTCTGTGTGTGTGTGTGTGTGTGTATGTGTGTGCGTGCACTGTAGGGTCTGCACTCAGGGCCTGGGCGCTATCCCTGAGCTCTGTGTGTGTGTGTGTGTGTGTGTGTGTATGCGTGCGCTGTAGGGTCTGCACTCAGGGCCTGGGCGCTATCCCTGAGTTGTGTGTGTGTGTGTGTGCGTGCACTGTAGGGTGTAGGGTCTGCACTCAGGGCCTGGGCACTATCCCTGAGTTGTGTGTGTGTGTGTGTGTGTGTGTGTGTGTGCGTGCACTGTAGGGTCTGCACTCAGGGCCTGGGCACTGTCCCTGAGTTGTGTGTGTGTGTGTGTGTGTGTGTGTGTGTGTGCACGTGCACTGTAGGGTCTGCACTCAGGGCCTGGGCGCTGTCCCTGAGGCTGTGTGTGTGTGTGTGTGCGTGCGCTGTAGGGTCTGCACTCAGGGCCTGGGCGCTATCCCTGAGTTGTGTGTGTGTGTGTGTGCGTGCACTGTAGCGTCTGCACTCAGGGCCTGGGCGCTGTCCCTGAGCTGTGTGTGTGTGTGTGTGTGTATGTGTGTGTGTGTGTGTGTGTGCGCTGTAGGGTCTGCACTCAGGGCCTGGGCGCTGTCCCTGAGGCTATGTATGTGTGTGTGTGTGTGTGTGTGTGTGTGTGTGTGCACTGTAGGGTCTGCACTCAGGGCCTGGGCGCTGTCCCTTTGCTGTGTGTGTGTGTGTGGGGGGGGTGCGTGCACTGTAGGGTCTGCACTCAGGGCCTGGGCGCTGTCGCCTGAGCTCTGTGTGTGTGTGTGTGTGTGTGTGTGTGTGTGTGTGTGCGTGCGCTGTAGGGTCTGCACTCAGGGCCTGGGCGCTGTCCCTTTGCTGTCTGTGTGTGTGTGCGTGCACTGTAGGGTCTGCACTCAGGGCCTGGGCGCTGTCCCTGAGCTGTATGTGTGTGTGTGTGTGTGTGTGTGTGTGTGTGTGTGTGTGTGTGCACTGTAGGGTCTGCACTCAGGGCCTGGGCGCTGTCCCTGAGCTGTATGTGTGTGTGTGTGTGTGTGTGTGTGTGTGTGTGTGCACTGTAGGGTCTGCACTCAGGGCCTGGGCGCTGTCCCTGAGCTGTGTGTGTGTGTGTGTGTGCGTGCACTGTAGCGTCTGCACTCAGGGCCTGGGCGCTGTCCCTGAGCTGTGTGTGTGTGTGTGTGTGTGTGTGTGTGTATGCGTGCACTGTAGGGTCTGCACTCAGGGCCTGGGCGCTGTCCCTGAGCTGTATGTGTGTGTGTGTGTGTGTGCACTGTAGGGTCTGCACTCAGGGCCTGGGCGCTGTCCCTGAGCTGTATGTGTGTGTGTGTGTGTGTGTGTGTGTGTGTGTGTGTGTGTGTGCACTGTAGGGTCTGCACTCAGGGCCTGGGCGCTGTCCCTGAGCTGTGTGTGTGTGTGTGTGTGTGCGTGCACTGTAGCGTCTGCACTCAGGGCCTGGGCGCTGTCCCTGAGCTGTGTGTGTGTGTGTGTGTCTGTGTGTGTGTGCGTGCGCTGTAGGGTCTGCACTCAGGGTCTAGATGCTGTCCCTGAGCTTTTTCACTTAACGTTAGCATTCTACCATCTGAGCCACACCTCCATCTCTGACTTTCTTGTGGCTAACTGAGTGTGAGTGTCACAGGCTCTCCTGCCTGAGCTTGGCTTTGGGCGCTGGTGCTCAGCTCTGAGTCTGTTTGGACGCTGGTGCTCAGCTCTGAGTCTGTTTGGACGCTGGTGCTCAGCTCTGAGTCTGTTTGGGCGCTGGTGCTCAGCTCTGAGTCTGTTTGGGCGCTGGTGCTCAGCTCTGAGTCTGTTTGGACGCTGGTCTCAGCTCTGAGTCTGTTTGGGCGCTGGTGCTCAGCTCTGAGTCTGTTTGGGCGCTGGTGCTCAGCTCTGAGTCTGTTTGGACGCTGGTGCTCAGCTCTGAGTCTGTTTGGACGCTGGTCTCAGCTCTGAGTCTGTTTGGGCGCTGGTGCTCAGCTCTGAGTCTGTTTGGACGCTGGTGCTCAGCTCTGAGTCTGTTTGGGCGCTGGTGCTCAGCTCTGAGTCTGGGAGTACCGAGGGTGACAGGCCTGGCCCCTGGCGTCTGGCTCAGCCTCTTATCTTGTTGCCCTGCCGTCCTCAGCATGTCTATTCTACCTCATGGTTCAAAATGGCTGCTTGAGCTCCAGTAATTGTGGGTGTTTTTCAGTCAACAAAAATGATGGCAGACTGTAGCCTTTTCCCTTACAGATACTATTTGAAACAACACAGATTACTCTATTGTTTGGTCAGGACCACTCAGAGAGCCCCTGTGAGGGTCTGCAGCGCAGGCTGTGGAGTTCATTCCATGTGACCGTGTGACCGTGCACACCTCATGGAATTTTTTTTTTTTTTTTGGTCAGTCCTGAGTCTTGAACTCAGGGCCTGGCCACTGTCCCTGATCATCTTTTGCTAAAGGCTAGCATTTCTAACACGAGCCATAGCACCACTTCTGGCTTTTTCTGTGTATGTGGTGCTGAGGAATGGAACCCAGGGCTTCATGCATGCTAGGCAAGCAAGCACTCTACTACTGAGCCACCTTCACAGTCCCAGGGAATTCTTTTCTTTTTTCTTTTTCTTCTTGTTGGCCATAGGGCTTGAACTCTGGGCCTGGGTGCTGTCCCTCAGCTCTTCAGCTCAAGGCTAGTGCCCTACTACAGCACCACTTCTGATTTTCTGGTGGTTTATTGGAGGTAAGAGTCTCAGAGCCTTTCCTGCCCAAGCTGGCTTTGAACCGCAATCCTCAGCCTTCTGAGTAGCTAGAATTACGGGTGTGCTCCACTGGTGCCCGGCCAGGGAATTCTTTTCTAAGGAAGACATAAGACAGGCAGTACCCGTACAGCCTTCTGTGCCTCTAGCCCTCCTTTCTGTCCAGCCAGGAGTCTTGCTCCTACAAATATCTGTCACCTGCCTCATAATAAATGCCTGTTGTAGTCAGGTGTTGGTGGTCATGACTTCAATCTTAGCTACTCAAGAGGCTGGAATCTGAGGGCTGCTGTTCAAAGCCAGCCTAGGCAGAAAGGTCCTCGAGACTTATTTCCAATTAACCCAAACAAAAGCTTAAAATGAAGGTGTAGCTCAAGTCTTGAGTGAAAAAGCCTAACATGTTTCTCTACATTTTCACTAGACTTTTCTCCCTCTTCTCCCAATGGGTGCAGTTAGTGAGCATCTCCCCAGGGCCAAGTCCCTTCTCCCTCTCTCCAAGGGCTCTCCTGTCTCTGGGCTCCAGTGCTGTCCTTTGCCTGCATCACTTCCTGGAGGCATCGCCAGAAGCACCTCACCCAGGCTCCCACTTAGGGGCCCTGGGGGCCCTGGAGGACATGGTTCAGGGTCTGATGATGCCTGGAAAGGCCCCTTCCCAAACAAAAACCAAGACTTGGCTAAAAGCCAGAAGCAACTTTAGTGAAGGGAGCTGGTGGGTGGGATTTGCCTGCAGGCAGCCCCCAGCTGGGGGTGGAAGAGCTCACAGGCGGGATGGGGGGGGGGGGGGGGGAAGGCCTGGGTGGAGGGAGGGGGAGAGGTGGGCTCAGACTCGGGGGTCACACCTCCAGTTCTGCGGCGCTTGGCTTTTCATACATGCGGGTCTTGCGCTGCACGATGCCTGGGCTAAAGCTGGCCCCCAGTGGCCAGTGCCGGACGACATGCCGGTAGGACGTGGCCAGGTAGTCAAAGTAGTTAATGTTGAGCTTCTGGGCCATGCGACGGCCCAGGTATTCCATTTGCTGTGAGAGAAGATGGCAGCAGGATTTCCTGAGGCCCCAGCTAGCACACCCTTTTAGTGTCCCTTCCTACCCTGCATGGTTCTTCCTACCAGCAGGGTACGGTGCTGCAGTGGCCCTCTGTGTGTGAATGCCCTGCCACAGACCCCAAGCAGTAGTCTGCAAGCACTCTGCTCAAAGCGGCGGCAACATACCCAGTGGGACTCACCTCGTAGCGCTCCGACATCTGCACCAGTACCAGGGGCTCCAGCTTGTGGCCGCCCAGGACCAGCTGGAAGAAGCACCTTCCATAAGCTGCCCAAGGGTGAGAAACTCAGCCAGAGCCATGGCCCAGGCCAGTGGGATGGCCAGATCACCTCCCACCCCCACGCCGCCATCCCGCCCTCTCCCCATCGCTGGCTTCACCGTCAGAGCTGAGCGCCAGGCGCATGTAGACCAGGTGCATGGGCCCCTGACACACGGTGCGGCCCTGGATGGAGAAGTGGTACATGCCTCGGGTGTGGTTCAGCACCAGCCGGCGCCGAGGCAGAGACGAGACCAGGAGCCACAGGCCCACACCCATGCCGTAGGCCGAGAAGCCCCAGGTCTGCTGCATCTGCACCTGTGGGCACAGGGGCTGTGGGAGCTGTGGGCACAGGGGCCGTGGGCACAGGGGCCGTGGGCACAGGGGCTGTGGGCACAGGGGCCGTGGGCACAGGAGCTGTGGGCACAGGGGCCGTGGGCACAGGGGCCGTGGGCACAGGGGCCGTGGGCACAGGGGTCGTGGGGGCCGTGGGCACAGGGGTCGTGGGGGCCGTGGGCACAGGGGCCGTGGGGGCCGTGGGCACAGGGGCCGTGGGGGCCGTGGGCACAGGGGCTGTGGGCACAGGGGCCGTGGGGGCCGTGGGCACAGGGGCTGTGGGGGCCGTGGGGCACCAGGCCCGCTCAGGCAAGGGGGGCAGGGACAAGGGCACACCTGCTTCAAGAAGTTGGTGGAGACCAGCGCGAAGCAGATGAGGAAGAGCAGCGCCCCCTTCCAGACTGTGTCCAGGTAGTACTCGAGCACAAAGACTGAAGGCATCACCGGGGCATGAGAACCAGGAATGGCCTCCCTCCCACCCCACGCCCACGGGGGCCCTGCACCTCCAGGCTGCTGCTGTGTGAAGGGGTAGAAGCTGTTGCTCTTGAGCCGTTTGGCCAGGTGCCGCTCTGTGCAGAAGAATCCCAGAGCCCAGAGCTGGAAGCGCTTGCCACCAAAGGCTGTGGGCAGGCCGCTGACCTTGCCTTTGGGAACCTAGTCAGACGAGGCGGTCAGCCTGGTGGCTCCCTGCTGCCCATGGCCCACTGTGCTAAGTTGCCCTTGTACCTGGGAGAGTAAAGTGTCCAGGGCTGCAGGCCAGAGAGGAGGAGCTCGTTCAGACAGAGACCGGGGAGGACACGGAGGCAGCGGAACAGGTGGGCAGTGTGAGTGGGTTCTAGAAGGTCTGTGCAGGTTCTAGAAGGCTTTTCTGTTGACCATGCCTCCATGACGGGGGTCACTTCCCAGCCAATCCCCCCCACCGACTACCCCCCGCACAGCTCGGCTGACAGTGCTCACTGAAGCGAAGGCAGCTGGACACGGAGCCCATGCTGGAGAGCACTGCAGCCAGCGCCCTGCACCGAGCCAGGAGACTGGCAAGGGCTCCTAGCTCTCCGTCTCTGCCCCCTCCACACTCTCCAACAGCTGGGGACAGACCCAGAGCCCCAGACTCAACGCAGGGAGCAGGAATAGAAGTGCGGGCGCCAGTGTGGGCCAGGCACCGCCCCAGCCCCCCCCACAGGACCACACACAAGTCCTAGAAACATTTTATTGTAACGAAACGCTCAAATATAGAAAACAGGGAAGGACACAGAGAGGCCTATCAGAAGCCTGGGCCAAGCTAGCTAGCGGAGAGGGGGCTGGCGAGCAGCTGTTCCAGACACCACTGGACTTCGTCCAGGCCCCGGTAGACACGCTTCAGGCCCCTCGGGAGGCACCGGCAGGACTCCAGGTTGAGATACAACAGGCCAGGGCAGCTGCTGATCACAGAGCTGTGGGGAAGGCAGACCGCAGGGAGGTGAATGGTGCCCAGAAGACCCAGGACGCTGGGGTCTCAGGGGAGCTGTCTGCCTGCCCTCCACTGAGCCTGCCAGCTACAGGCTACATGGGCCCCAAGCCAGTACCCATGCACCCCCAAGGCCAACCCAAGCACGGGCAGGGTGGGTCCCCGCTCTTCTCTCTGACCCTGGAGGTGTGAGCTAGGCAGCCTATCCAGCGTGAGCCTGGAGCAGGGCGTGAGCAGTGCTGAGCCCGAGGAACGGGGGGACTGACCTGACCATGCCGGGGGTGACGCGGGTCCCCCTGAGGTTGAGGCGGCTCAGGGCCGGGAGCGCAGGGGCGCCTGAGAAAGCAGCCAGCGCCTGCTCCAGGTCCCTCTCACCGAACCCCTGGCCACTCAAGTCCAGTTCTCGGAGACTGTGATACCATTTCTGGGTCAACAGAGGGCTGCCCTCCTTGGCCACAGTCAGCCGGTCTGACATGCCGTACAGGCCCAGGTGCAGCTGCTCCAGCTCTGCCACGAGAGGAGGAGGTGTGAGCCAAAGGCAGGCAAAGACCCGCAGCCTGGCCGCTCAGCCCCTCCCAGGAGCGCTGACCCTGACACGGGAGGTCACGCAGGCCCTCGGGCGTGATCCGGTCACAGCCTCGAAGATCAAGGAGGCGCAGACTGGGAGAGCCGTGGAGCAGCCGGCCCAGGACCTCATTGCTCACAAAGGCACAGGTAGAACCAGCAAGGCAGAGCTCCTCTAGGCAGGGGAAGCCTGGACCCAGAGCCGGCCTGCGCCCCGAAGGCTTGGGCATCCACATCAGGTTTAGCAGCCGAAGCACCTGGGGGCAAAGTAAGACTATAGGTAAGGTGCGCGTGTGCGCCACAGAGACAGACAGCCAGGTAGGAGGGCGGCGCAGCGCAGCGCACCTGCAGCTGGGGACAGGCTTTCTGCAGAGCCTCCACCGGCAGCTGCAGCGGAGTACTGTTGCGGTGGATGCCGGTGCTCACCTCCAGGACTTGGAGTTGGGGACAGCAGCTGCCCTGCAGAAGTACGCACCAGGTCACCAGCTGCTGCCTTCAGCTCAGCGGCGAGCTGTGCTCATGCCCGCGTCTCCTTACCAGCAGTGCACCCACAATAGCTGTTGTCTGGGAGCTGTAGGTCAGCCACAGCTTGCGCATTCGGGGTCCCACTGCCTCCAAAAAGCTCACCACAGCTGTGGAGTCCACCTAGGGGCTTAGCACAGGGGTGCCGGTCACCTTCGCCCGGGCTTGCTCGGGATCTCGTGGGGTCCGGGGCTCACCATGGAATGCTGGAGGTCCAGGCTGTGGAGCTGCCGGCAGGACTTGGCCAGCGTGAGCAGCGTGTCCGTGGTCACACCGTGGCAGTCCGAAAGCTTCAGGAAGGTGAGCCGGGGGCAGCACGCACTCACCAGCTGTGAGGAGACAGAAGCCACGGAGGTGAGGAAGCATGTGAGCGTTCACGGGAGAAACGCTGGAGCTCTGTGTCACCCCCCTCTGCGCTACCTCTGGCAACCCCTGCCAGGAGGCTAGGGTGGAAAAGGAGAGCCGGCCGGGCGGGCGGGCTTTCCAGGGGAGCTGGTCTGAGGCCCCTCCGCGGACGCACTGGGTAACCCCAGGTGCAGAGCTGGTGTGCTCACCTTCAACACGGGCTGCACCTGAGACTTCCAGTGTATGAGCGTCAGCTGCTGGAGCAGCGAGAACCTGGACGACAGCAAGGCCTGGCTGCCCCGGCCGGTGCGGGCCCTCCGCCCGTCCCCGCCCGTCCCCGCCCGTCCCCACCGCGCGCCCGCCCCCCGCCCGCCCGTCCCGCGAGGCACCGGGGCCTCACCGACTGGGCACCAGCCACTCCAGGGAGGCCAGGAGCTTCTTCTCCGCTTTGGCGCCGCTCTTGGCGCGGCCGGCCAGCGGGGGCGACAGGGTGGCGGTGTGCCAGAGCGCGGGCTGGGAGGCGGCGCGGCGCCAGAGGCGGCACACGCGCGCGGCCCTGCGGGAGGCGCGGGGCGTCACCGGAGCCCGGGAGCCCGGAGCCCGCGCCGGGGCCGGGGCCTGCCCAGCGCCCTCCCGCCCTCCCGGGCCCTGCCCTGCCCAGCGCCCTCCCGCCCTCCCTGGGCCTGCCCAGCGCCCTCCCGCCCTCCCGGGCCCTGCCCAGCGCCCTCCCGCCCTCCCGGGGCCTGCCCAGCGCCCTCCCGCCCTCCCGGGCCCTGCCCTGCCCAGCGCCCTCCCGCCCTCCCGGGCCCTGCCCAGCGCCCTCCCGCCCTCCCGGGCCCTGCCCAGCGCCCTCCCGCCCTCCCGGGGCCTGCCCAGCGCCCTCCCGCCCTCCCGGGGCCTGCCCAGCGCCCTCCCGCCCTCCCGCCCTCCCGCCCTCCCGGGCCCTGCCCTGCCCAGCGCCCTCCCGCCCTCCCGGGCCCTGCCCTGCCCAGCGCCCTCCCGCCCTCCCGGGCCCTGCCCTGCCCAGCGCCCTCCCGCCCTCCCGGGGCCTGCCCAGCGCCCTCCCGCCCTCCCGGGGCCTGCCCTGCCCAGCGCCCTCCCGCCCTCCCGGGCCCTGCCCTGCCCAGCGCCCTCCCGCCCTCCCGGGGCCTGCCCAGCGCCCTCCCGCCCTCCCGGGCCCTGCCCTGCCCAGCGCCCTCCCGCCCTCCCGGGGCCTGCCCAGCGCCCTCCCGCCCTCCCGGGGCCTGCCCAGCGCCCTCCCGCCCTCCCGGGCCCTGCCCAGCGCCCTCCCGCCCTCCCGGGGCCTGCCCAGCGCCCTCCCGCCCTCCCGGGGCCTGCCCAGCGCCCTCCCGCCCTCCCGGGGCCTGCCCAGCGCCCTCCCGCCCTCCCGGGCCGACGCACCGGCCGAGGACCGGCGCGGGCCCCTCGGCGGCCACCAGCAGCCCGAAGATGTGCACCAGCACTTCCAGGGGGGCGCGGTCCCCCCAGCCCGGGTCCGGGCCCTGCTCGGGCGCGGGCGGGGACGCGGGCTCGGGCCGGGGCCGGGGCCGGGGCCGGGGCCGGGGCCGGGGCCGGGGCGCCGCGGTCTGCCGGGGCCGGGGCCGGGGCCGGGGCGCCCGCGTGGGCCCGAGGCCCGGCAGGACGAGCAGCATGCTGTCCGCCTGCATCAGGTGGCAGCCGGAGCCGCTGGGCGCCAGCCGGTCCCACCACCAGTCCTCGGCCGAGCGGGCCCGCGTCCCGGCCGGCAGCGACGCGCGCGCCGGCCGCCGGGCCCGCCGGGCCGCGGCCTGAGCCATGGCTGCGGCGGAAGGCGGAAGGCGGAAGGCGGAAGGCGGAAGGCGGAAGGCGGAAGGCGGAAGGCGGAAGGCGGAAGGCGGAAGGGAGGGCGGGCCTGCCGCTGCTCGCCCGCCCCTCGACACGACTTCCGGGGCGGGCTCCTGCCGCCCGCTCGCCCCGGGCGGACGGCAGCCGGGGCTCCGGGCGCGCCGCGGCGGGAGGCTGCGTTCGGCCCGGGCTGAGGCCGCGCGCGGTTCCGGGCCGGCGGCTCCCGCGGAGCGGAAGGGCGGCCCGGCGGGCGCCGCGAGCGTCCGGGCCGGGCGCGGGTCCTCCGGCGGGATGGCGGCGCCCCCGCGGGCGCGGCCGGGGCTGACCCACCTGCTGGTGGCCCTCTTCGGCATGGGCTCGTGGGCCGCGGTGAACGGGATTTGGGTGGAGCTGCCGGTGGTGGTGAGAGACCTCCCCGAGGGTGAGTGGGCCGGGGGGCCGGGGAGGCGGCCGCGCCCCGAGCCCCGATCCCCGCGCCCGGAGCCCCGATCCCCGCGCCCGGAGCCCCGCGCCCCGCGCCCGGAGCCCCGATCCCCGCACCCCAAGCCCTGAGCCCCGCGCCCCGCGCCCGGAGCCCCGATCCCCGCACCCCAAGCCCTGAGCCCCGCGCCCGGAGCCCGGAGCCCCGATCCCCGCGCCCCAAGCCCCGAGCCCCGCGCCCGGAGCCCCGCGCCCCAAGCCCCGCGCCCAGAGCCCCGATCCCCGCGCCCGGAGCCCCGATCCCCAAGCCCCGCGCCCCGCGCCCGGAGCCCCGCGCCCCAAGCCCCGCGCCCCGAGCCCCGCGCCCGGAGCCCCGCGCCCCAAGCCCCGAGCCCCGCGCCCGGATCCCCGCGCCCCAAGCCCCAACCCCGAGCCCCGCGCCCGGAGCCCCGATCCCCGCGCCCGGAGCCCCAAGCCCCGAGCCCCGCGCCCAGAGCCCCGATCCCCAAGCCCCAAGCCCCGAGCCCCGCGCCCGGAGCCCCGAGCCCCAAGCCCCGAGCCCCGATCCCCAAGTCCCGAGCCCCGATCCCCAAGCCCCGAGCTCCGATCCCCGCGCCCGGAGCCCCGAGCCCCGCGTCCCGAGTACCGATCCCCAAGCCCCGAGCCCCGCGCCCAGAGCCCCGATCCCCAAGCCCCGAGCCCCGATCCCCGCGCCCGGAGCCCCGAGCCCCGCGTCCCGAGCCCCGAGCCCCAAGCTCCGAGCCCCGAGCCCCAAGCCCCGAGCCCCCATCCCCGCGTCCCGAGCCCCGCGCCCGGAGCCCCGCGCCCCGCGCCCGGAGCCCCGCGTCCCGAGCCCCGATCCCCGCGCCCGGAGCCCCGAGCCCCGCGCCCGGAGCCCCGAGCCCCGATCCCTGCGTCCTGATCCCCGAGCCCCGCACCCTGCCTCTCAGCCCTGACCGGCATCCTCCTCCTGCAGGGTGGAGTCTCCCTTCGTACCTCTCCGTGCTGGTGGCGCTGGGGAACCTGGGTCTGCTGGTGGTGACCCTGTGGAGGCGGCTGGCCCCGGGCCGCGGCGAGCAGGGCCCCATCCAGGTGGTGCAGGGGCTGAGCATAGCGGGCGCGGCGCTGCTGGCCCCCCTCTGGCACCGAGTGGCCCCCGTGGCAGGACAGCCCCACTCCGTGGCCTTCTTGACCCTGGCCTTTGTGCTGGCCACGGCCTGCTGTGCCTCTAATGTCACTTTCCTGCCCTTCCTGAGCCACCTGCCGCCTCCCTTCTTACGGTCTTTCTTCCTTGGTCAGGGTCTCAGTGCCCTGCTGCCCTGTGTGCTGGCCCTGGCCCAAGGTGTGGGCCGCCTGGAATGCCCCCCTGTACCCATTAACGGCACCCCTGGGCCTCCCATCAACTTCCCCGAGCGGTTTTCTGCCAGCACCTTCTTCTGGGCACTGACTGCCCTGCTGGTGACCTCGGCCACCGCCTTCCACGGTCTTCTGCGGCTGTTGCCCTCACCGCCGTCCCTACCCCCAGGGGCCCCAGGCCCGGTGGGGGCCCCTGGAGCAGAGGAGGAGGCCTCACCATTGCAGGAGCCCCCCAGGCCAGCTCCTAAGGCCCACCAGCTGTTCGCCGTCCAAAGCGCCTGCCTCCTGGGCCTGCTGGCCACCACCAACGGCCTGACTAACGGCGTGCTGCCTGCCGTGCAGAGCTTTTCCTGCTTGCCCTATGGGCGCCTGGCCTACCATCTGGCGGTGGTGCTGGGCAGCTCTGCCAACCCTCTCGCCTGCTTCCTGGCCATGGCCGTCCTCTGCAGGTGCACTTGGGTCTCAGACCCCCTTGGTGGGAGGAGATTGGGGTGCGGGGCCCTGGGCCCCATTGAGCCAGACCTGAGGCTTTGCCCATTCCTGGCAGGTCCCTGGCAGGGCTGTGTGGTCTTGCTCTGCTGGGTGTGCTCTTTGGGGCCTACCTGATGACACTGGCAGTCCTGAGCCCCTGCCCTCCCCTAGTGGGCAGCTCTGCAGGTGTGGTCCTTGTGGTAAGTATGCTGGGGACCCGAGGAGGGCGGGCCTCGCCCTGAGCAAGGCACTCCACGCTCCCCTGCTGTTGGATGCTCCCTGCAGGTGCTCTCCTGGGTGCTGTGTGCCGGCGTGTTCTCGTACGTCAAGGTGGCGGCCAGCTCCATGCTGCACGGCGGAGGCCGGGCTGCCCTGCTAGCGGCTGGGGTGGCCATCCAAGTAGGCTCCCTGGTCGGCGCTGTTGCCATGTTTCCTCCCGCCAGCATCTACCATGTATTCCGAAGCAGAGAAGACTGTGTGGACCTGTGTGGCCTCTGAGCCTGGGTGGGCATGAGCTCCCTCTGCCCAGCCGCCTCCACTTGGAGCCTCCACATGGCCTCGGGCACCAAGGCCCAGGAACTTCCTCGCACCGCCTCCAGACCTGGCACCGCATGCCCGCAAGCCCGGGTGAGGACCAAAGAACAGGCCTGGAGCCAGGGACAGTTTGTGGCTGGGGCTTGGCCCAGCCATTTTCATGGGATTTGCACAATAAAGCGCCTTTATTCAGCTGGTGGTTAATCCTCTGGGCACTTCTTCCTGGTCAGGCTGGCCTGCCTCACCCCAGGGTCCTGGGCAGACATCCAGCCACCCCGGGCTGCCCGCATAGGCCTGTGACACCCCGGGATACCACACAGGCCCTGTGACACCCCGGGATGCCCGCACAGGCCCTGTGACACCCCGGGATGCCCGCACAGGCCCTGTGACACCCCGGGATGCCCGCACAGGCCCTGTGACACCCCGGGATGCCCGCACAGGCCCTGTGACACCCCGGGATGCCCGCACAGCCCTGTGACACCCCGGGATGCCCGCACAGCCCTGTGACACCCCGGGATGCCCGCACAGCCCTGTGACACCCCGGGATGCCCACACACAGGCCCTGTGACACCCCGGGATACCCACACAGCTCTGTGACACCCCGGGATACCACACAGGCCCTGTGACACCCCGGGATACCACACAGCCCTGTGACACTCCGGGATACCCACACAGCCCTGTGACACTCCGGGATACCCACACAGCTCTGTGACACCCTGGGATGCCCGCACAGGCCTGTGACACCCCGGGATACCACACAGCCCTGTGACACCCCGGGATGCCCGCACAGGCCTGTGACACCCTGGGATGCCCGCACAGCCCTGTGACACCCCGGGATGCCCGCACAGGCCTGTGACACCCCGGGATGCCCGCACAGGCCTGTGACACCCCGGGATGCCCGCACAGGCCTGTGACACCCCGGGATGCCCGCACAGGCCTGTGACACCCCGGGATACCACACAGCCCTGTGACACCCCGGGATACCACACAGGCCCTATGACACCCCGGGATGCCCGCACACACAGGCCCTGTGACACCCCGGGATGCACACACAGGCCCTATGACACCCCGGGATGCACACACAGGCCCTGTGACACCCCGGGATACCACACAGCCCTGTGACACCCCGGGATGCCCGCACAGCCCTGTGACACCCCGGGATGCCCGCACAGGCCTGTGACACCCCGGGATGCCCGCACAGGCCTGTGACACCCCGGGATGCCCGCACAGGCCTGTGACACCCGGGATGCCCGCACAGCCCTGTGACACCCCGGGATGCCCACACACACAGCCCTGTGACACCCCGGGATGCCCGCACACACAGCCCTGTGACACCCCGGGATGCCCGCACAGGCCTGTGACACCCGGGATGCCCGCACAGGCCCTGTGACACCCCGGGATGCCCGCACAGGCCCTGTGACACCCCGGGATGCCCGCACAGGCCCTGTGACACCCCGGGATGCCCGCACAGGCCTGTGACACCCGGGATGCCCGCACAGGCCCTGTGACGCCCCGGGATACCACACAGCCCTGTGACACCCCGGGATGCCCACACATGCAGGGAGCCGGGACATCGCCATTACAAGATGGCGCCCAACTCCTTTCAGCTTAGAGGTAAACAACTCCACATTAGGCAGTGCTTGGCGGGACTGCGGGTCCCTAGCTTTGCGCATGCGCCATCATTGTAAATCCTGAGCCAATCCCGTGGCACCTGGTGACGGCAAAAGGCGGACAGCCAATCCTGAAGCGACCCGTGTTCCAAACCCTATATAAGTGGCTGTATTTCCTTGCTCGCTCTCTTGCGCTCAAGCTCTCCCTTCAACTAAAAGGCTCTCCAATAAAGTGTGATCTGAGAAGACTCCTGGTGTGGTGGTCGTTCTTCCTCGCTGGCCGAGAAGGCGTTCGCCGCACACACACACAGGCCCTATGACACCCCAGGATGCCCGCACAGGCCTGTGACACCCCGGGATGCCCGCACAGGCCTGTGACACCCCGGGATGCCGCACAGGCCTGTGACACCCCGGGATGCCCGCACAGCCCTGTGACACCTGGGATGCCCGCACAGCCCTGTGACACCCCGGGATGCCCACACAGGCCCTGTGACACCCCGGGATGCCCGCACAGCCCTGTGACACCCCGGGATGCCCGCACAGCCCTGTGACACCCCGGGATGCCCGCACAGGCCCTCTGC